CCAACTGCACCCAGCCCCAGCCCTCACAAACCTAGCTCTTCACATGAGCGAAGGGCGTGAAGACGAAGGCAGGAACATAAACAAGAGTCAGCTGATTTCATTCAAGACCCAATGACGTGCCATTGCAAGCCATTCATCGGCGTCTCGGGAGGCTGGCGGATGACATTTATATTTGAAGAAGTGATACCAGCGAGAACAGAGAATGATATAATCTTTGTGACTGTTGATCGCCTCCTCTGACTTCGTGGTGTTTCCGTGTGCAAGTTTTTGTGCTGGCCGGCTTGTGCGTTTGTGTGTGCGTGTGTGTGTAGCTGCAGTCGTTTGTATGTGAGGATTAAATGATTGATCTCTTGATGGCTGAGTAGGAGAATATGTGGGCGGCTCCATTTATATATTAGTTTTCCTCGTCTTTGCTTACATTTTATACTTGCATTCCCGTTGCAATTGCATGTACATGGTTGCCTTATACTATTGTGTTAAATACAATGCGGAGAACTGATGCCTCTTAAGTACGAGCAAATCATTGTTTATATCTGCGTTGGTAGTTATCATACCAAAGAAAGTTTAGGGCTGACATTTTAGTCACATCATGTGATCCAAAAAGATGTATGCACGTGGTATATGGTCGTGTTACCAGGCGAGCATTTACATATTCCTACTCTTGGTTGTGTGTATTAAACATGCCCATGACATTTCGACACAGCTTTTAGGAGCGATATCATCTATTTTTAGTTCCAATTTACATTGCGTTATTCACGGCTTGATTTTTATCGGGATATCCAATATTTATTATCACGATCTCCTGACGTCTGAATAAAACGATCTGTGGATATAGAGCGCGCAGACGCATTGCATGGCGCCTGCATCCTGCCGCTCGCCTAACCTATGAGAACAATATCCTCGAAATGTCTCGGACCTTCGCCGAAAGTCCCTGGGCCGGATCCAGATAGGAACGTGGTCATCGTCTTGTTTTGCCTCAAGCTTCGTTTTTACAGAGAACCTAAGGAAATAAAAAGTACTGGGAAACGAAAAAAGTACTGATTCAGCATACACCCACGCTATATATCTGCGTACTTGCAAGCACGTTAATGTGGATGTTGGCTTACATGGATAATAAATGTATATACACACACTCGTGTGTGTGTGTATGTGTGTGTGTTTATGTGTGTGTGTGTGTGTGTGTGTGTGTGTGTGTGTGTGTGTGTGTGTGTGTGTGTGTGTGTGTGTGTGTGTGTGTGTGTGTGTGTGTGTGTGTGTGTGTGTGTGTGTGTGTGTGTGTGTAATGTATATACATTACATTACGTATACAGATATGCATATATATATATTTAAATATATACATATATATGTATATATGTATGTATACTTATATACATATATACAGATGTATGTCTGCGCTCTCATATTTTCCTAACAAATTTTTGTATCCATTTGCATCGTTTAAGACAGTCAGCAAGCTACATCGTCACGCATGAGTGCAATGTGTTTCATCTATTTTTTTCTTTTCATACGTTATCGTTCGTTTCGTTTGTGACCGTAGTGCTTACTTACATAAGCATTTTATGGAGGCACCTACACATGCGATCGCACCTGTACATATTCTTACATTTATGAATCGAAGTCGTTAAGTAAACTGAGTTTATTTACATAATGGAGATGATCAGGTGCGCCTTGGCGTTGGCGACTGAAAACGCGAAAACTGAATAACATCTCATGCCAGCCTCTTTCTCTCTCTTATTGTTTATATTATTAATATATACATACATATACACACCATATATCTATCTTTCTCTCGATATATATATATATATATATATATATATATATATATATATATATATATATATATATATATATATATGGATATACATACATGCATGCAAATATATATATATACACATATATGCATGAATATATGTATATATATACATATAAATATATACTGCATATATGTATGTGTATATATATATATAGATATATAAATAGATAGATAGATAGATAGATAGATATAGATATAGATAGATAGATAGATATGCGTGTATATATATATATATATATATATATATATATATATATATATATATATATATATATGTAGATAGTTATAGATATAGATATGCGCGTGTGTATGTTTATTTGTTTGTATAACGTCTGTCTGTATGTTTACATATGCACAAACATGGTGTGAATCCATGAAGTGCACATTTACACCCTCCGGAACGCGTAGGGGTGCGCGCAATAGCTGAGGGGTCGCTCGTTTGCGCTTCGCCGCTTGTGACCTTTCCTTATTGTTACTCGTGATTTAGCGTCTTTTCGATCACTCTCGCACTATTTTAGAATCGTGTATTGTGGCTTCACGATAGGGCGAGATAAGAGCATGAGCTATCGAGTGCGTATTATCATATAATTAGGCGCTTTATCTCGCAAGTCAGGTTTCTTACCTTTATCTCCTCTGCATCTTTGACTTGGATTGGAGTAGAATTGTCTAAAACACCTTTCATCGCTTCATTTAGCACAAACGACTATTGGACAGTCTGAGGGACAATTCCTGCCTGACCGATAGCGAGGGATAGCAAAGGGGCAGACACAGTCGACACGACAGCATGGCAAGAGGGTCGTCGTTACTTCGCCTCGTTGGCTGGGCGGTCGGCGTGGCGGCCGTGGTGGTGTGTTTTACAAGGTCTGTTTGTGTGTATCTCGTCGCTGTAACTGACATTGTGCTGTGGTTCGTTCATGTGGCTAAATTGTCCTTCCTTGAGTAGTTCTGTCTGATCCCGTCTGGGTCGGGATGATGTAGGAGCGCCGCGGTTGTTTGTGCAGCTTATATAAAGTGCTATTGGAGGTGTCGTCTGGTTTTGGCCATGACTTTGTCCCGCAACACGCTGGCACCATTACCAAACTGCGTAACTTGTTGGCGGTGGTCATCTGGCTTGTTCCCATCGAGGATGGATGGGACTGGGCGCTACTTACGCTTTGTTTCGTCCACATTTAGCTTATTCCTTCTTCCCTTTTTCATTGATGCCTCCTCATCCTCTTCATATCCCTTCACTTATGCCTTTTCTTTTTATTCCTTGCACGTTTTCCGCCGAGCTGAATGATGCATATTGATGTATGGACTTGGATCTCGGAAGTTGGCAAATCAACCGTGCTAGTTTGAAAAATACATGATTACAGAACATTATTTTGATTGTTCTATATTTGCATTTCGTTATCCCTTGCAAATTTAGGCGCCCGATTTAATTTCATTTCCATTGGCGTTCTGGTTTCTACACTGTTCCGATTTTCCGATAGCGTCCAGACATCAGCAGATTCGATCCTGCCACCTATACTGCGTTCACACTATTATCATGATTGAAGTACATAACAGCCCCACAGGGTAAAGGCAGCTGACGCCACATGGCATCTGTCAGCGGGTCGCTCGTCAGCATGACACGTGCGTACCCGTCAGTCAAGCGCTTTTTAGGGCTCCTCCAAGACACCAAAGCCCGTTTTCTTCGAAGGTGCTATTTCTGTACACAACGACGCAGACTCAACGTTGACTTCTTTAAAATGTTTCTTTGGAGGGAGAGGCCAAGGGTTATTGATGGCATTGTAATGGTGTCTGGTGGGTAAGCGATACGGTATAATGGCTAAATCATGAAGGCGATGGAGGTGGCAATGAAGCTAATTACAGTAATGGAACGATTCACATCAATTGAAATCGTGTGGATTGAGCAAATATGTTAATGATAAAGATAATTTTGGTTCAATTGAAAATAATGCTACTGTCTTATGGTGGGAAAAGAATAGAACATTGTAAAGTGATCTTGCACTTATTCCACTATTGTGATGTACGAAACGTCTAGAAAAGTATTATAGCAATTCATATAATATGAACCACTACTTCCACTGCTATATTTTGTCAACAACAGGGAGGCGGATAAAGCAGGGACAGTGTTCATGGAGAAGCGGTGATGTTACAGAAGCGAAACAAAAGAGAAGCGGGATGCGGTGACAACCTGCCTCCGGTACGCTCCGATACCAGTTCCCGAACCTGCACATGTTTTATGGCGGTGTTTGACCTTGCTAATTCTCATCAATGCGGGGTCGGCCATGCGTGTGTGTGACATCCGGTCGCCGTTTTTACAAGGGCGGTTACGAAGAAACTTTACCCCCCTCCCTCGTCTACTCCTACTCCTACTCCATCTCCTCTTGCTCCCCTTCCCCTTCTCTTCTCCAACTCCGCCTGACTCCTCTCCCTATTGTTATCTGCTCTCCGTCTCTCTCTCTCTCTCTCTCTCTCTCTCTCTCTCTCTCTCTCTCTCTCTCTCTCTCTCTCTCTCTCTCTCTCTCTCTCTCTCTCTCTCTCTCTCTCTCTCTTTCGCTCTCTCTCTCTGCCTTTGTCCTTTTTTAGTATATAGTCCCTTTTCCATGAAGTTTCCTAGACTATCACATTTTATCGTTAATGTTGGTGTCCTCTTTATGCTCCTGTTCTCCAGGCCAGTATCCTCAGCAATCAGGTTAAACCCCTCAATCTGACTAACCCTTCCCCGAGACCAATATTTTCCCTAGACTAGGCCCTCGCCAGACCAGTACCTTTACCTGGTCTGTTCCCCTGGTCGAGACTTTTCCTTCGATTAATCTCCTCACCAGAACGATCTTTTCCCCAGCCCCTTCAGTGGCCCTCTTCCTCCACTAGGCTAATCCCCGCTCCAGACCAACGTGCCTTTCTCGGACCGACCCCCACCAGACCTAATTCTCACCAGACCAGACAGATCCTGTTATCGGATCAGCCGCAGACCCTTTACCAAGCCAATCCCCCAGCAGACCAGGCTTCCCAATCCACAACCTAATAAGCCCGAGTTCCTCCACAGAACTTTCCCCGGTCGTTTCTCCAGACCAGCTCTCACCAGACCAATCCCTCCCTCACCAACCGATTACCTCCCCCAACAGCCCAGGCCCAGTCCCTCCAGCAGACAAGGCCAAGTCCCCTACCAGACCATCCCATTCCTCCCGGAGAC